GTGGTTTGGCAGAGTGTAGGTTGGATAATGGCCGTTAGTTTGACCGTGAAGGTTGAGGTGTTGCCGCGGAATGAGGGAATGATGATACCATGATTTTCGGTGTTGAAGTTGTCACACCCTGATAATTTTATTCTAATTGATGAATGATTTGAGACTGACTAAGGCCAAATAGTATAGTAGACTGGTAGAGGATCCAGGCTATGAGGAAAAATCAGGATAGGGACATAACGGTCATTTTTGAAAAGATCAGTCAAGAAAGGGCAGTATTGGAAATAATGTCTGAAATTCCTGAAAATTCCCAGAAAATCATGAAAAATAGAAAGGAGGGTACAGAATAATGTTTGAGGCTTAGAAGATGAATATACGATTAAAAATAATTTATCAGGGAATTATTTGTAATTATTGGAATTTTTGGTTAATTAAGGAAAATTAGCCAATTTCCATTATTTAAATTATATAGAGGCCTCAAAAATTCAAGGAAAAATAGGGATAAATTATGTGACATATTATCCTAATTTATAAAATTACTTCCCACCTTTGGATGTACAAAGGTTAGCTTAAAGAATATTTATTACCGAATTATTATCGGTAGAATGATGATTTTTGACGAAATAAAATTTATAAAATTTTGTGACAGTAAATTGGACAGGATTGTTGGAAAATCGGACCGAGAATACACAAATAATTAGTGGATTGCACTGAATATTGAATGAGTCATTTTTTTTTCCAATATTTAGAGTAATATTTGGCCAAAAATAAAGGGGGAGGACAAAGTTGGAATTTTTCAAATTGTTCAAGGGCATAAAGGGAAATAAGAGACAAAACATTAAAATAATGTTTTATTTCCACATGAAAATCACATGGTGATTAGGTGTCCATCCATGTGTCAACTTCTTGTGGTGTGTGCTCTAGGATTTGTCCATTTGTAAAGTGGAAAAAAATGGATGGCCGAGATCACATCTTTTTCCCGAAGGGCATTTTTGGAATTTTAAAAATCAAAACCTATAAATCCCCCCTTTCATGAACAATTCGGCTAAAGAGGTTTGCTAGTGAGGGAATGTTGTGTTCTTGAGTTCTAGGAGAGAGAAAGGAAGAAAGAAGAGAGAGAAAGGGAGAAAGCAAAGTTAGACACCTCTAATCGCCGATTAAGAGCTAATTAAGGTATGTTTACCTCCCTAAGTGTTAATTATTTTTCTCCCTCCGTTCATTATAAGACGAATAACCGAATTACGTTGATCAAAAAAACGTTAAAATTAGTTAAGACATGTGTGTAAAAGTAGTTTTTTTTTCCAAAATACCCTCATTAATAAGGGAGAGAGCATGAGAGAGAACATAGTAATTCTTAAAAGAAGAGAAGTTTGGAATTAGAGAGAGTATGAGTTGGAAACAATAAATATGGGTAAATAGGAAATCAACACAAAGTAGAGACATTAGTGTCTCTTATATTTAGGAATGCTATAAGCATCAAATGTCTCTTATAATAGGAACGAGGGAGTTAATTATTTATTTGAGGAAGATAGGATTACACCTTGATTAATTATGGTTTGTGGTAGCTAAGATTATCATGTTGTTTGATTAAAGATTAGTAAGTAATTAAGGTTAGCTACCTTGATTAATTAGTAATTAGTGATTAGTTATGCTAATTGAAGGATGATTAATTATGATTAATCATGTTGATTAAGGAATGATTAAAGGTTAATCATGTTGATTAGAGAATGATTAATGGTTAATCCATAAAGGATTAGTGACTTAATCTTAGAAGATTATGTTGTACTAATGACTATATGACTTGAGGACCTTAATTAAATATTGGATTAAGGACTAAGGGTTAGTGATTGACCAAGAAAACATGATTAATCATGGATTAAGGAAGAATTCCAAGACCTTATTGAGGATTAAGGCTTGGTCAAACCAAAGTCAAGGATTAGGAAAGGTATACAGAAATTATAAATTGAAAGGCAAAAGGGTAGCATTATATTGAGAAAGAATTGTATACTGGATATGGAATTTACCATACCCTTACTGTATGGTTGATAGGCAATTTTCTGGAAACCTAGGAGGACCTCAAGCAAGGAAACAAGGAGGAAACAGTAAGCGTGGAATCGAGGTAGCGTGAACTTGCAATTATTTTGTTGACCTGCATTTGGTGTTTCTGCTATGTGTGTTTATGTGCCATGAGAATGTTTATGCTCAGATGATGTGAACTCCTTGCAATGTATGCCTTGGCTCTTGCATGATTGAGTTTTGACTAGAATAATTATATGCTCCATGATATGATGACATGGATACAGAATGGTTATGGCATGGCATAAAGACTAGCAATGTTATTTTACTGCATGTAGCATGACATCTTATGCATGTTGACTTGATGGTTGTATGTTCAATGCTACTGGGATTTCTATGAAATCTCATTCTTCCTATAACATGATATCCTAGGTGCCACTACTTCCAAGAAGAAGGGAAAATAAATAATCATGGCTTGAGGAAGTTATGAGTTATGTATTGTATTATACGGTTTTAAACCTTTCTCTTTCAAGCCATGTAAGCATATTCTGATCTTGAATACATGATATGATAACCTTTGAAATGTATATTAATGGTAGAGCACCTTTAGATGTGATTATAGTATGCTTATAGTGAAAAACGAAATGGTGCTAGAATTAGTGAAAAAGGGGATAAAAATGGTCTAGATTTGACCAACTTTGACCAACGAAGACCCTGGTCAAATGGTTGACTTTTCCCTGAAATTTGGCATGCAAAGAGATCTTATTTTTCCCTTAAAATGAGTGGTAAAGAACGTCACAATTGGAGCTCTGTGCAAGAAGTTATGCCTTTTCGAAGTTAGGCAAAAATCCTGGAAAATAGAAAAATGACCAAATGAACAGTACTTTTCGAAATTAAAATCAGATGCGTTTCTGATTAAAGTGGAACCTGAGGTCATTTTTTCTTGATAGATGATGTTAAGAGCTTCGAGTGAGACTTGGAACGACCTTGTTCGATTTTTCTAGAATTAGTTATGATTTTCCAAAGTTATGCCAAGTTTAAGGTTACAGTGAATAGTAATGCGGGAAAAGAAATTTTCAAATTCAGGTTTTTCAACCCAGTAACCTTAATTTGCGCTTTCGAATATCTTAACTTGGCACAATATAAGGTCGCAAACATAAGGTGTTACAGAAGTCGTCAAGCCCTAGTGGTAGCTAAGATTAATCATGTTGTTTGATTAAAGATTAGTAAGTAATTAAGGTTAGCTACCTTGATTAATTAGTAATTAGTGATTAGTTATGCTAATTAAAGGATGATTAATTATGATTAATCATGTTGATTAAGGAATGATTAAAGGTTAATCATGTTGATTAGAGAATGATTAATGGTTAATCCATAAAGGATTAGTGACTTAATCTTAGAAGATTATGTTGTACTAATGACTATATGACTTGAGGACCTTAATTAAATATTGGATTAAGGACTAAGGGTTAGTCATTGACCAAGAAAACATGATTAATCATGGATTAAGGAAGAATTCCAAGACCTTAACTGAGGATTAAGGCTTGGTCAAACCAAAGTCAAAGGATTAGGAAAGTATACAGAATTATAAATTGAAAGGCAAAAGGGTAGCATTATATTGAGAAAGAATTGTATACTGGATATGGAATTTACCATACCCTTACTGTATGGTTGATAGGCAATTTTCTGGAAACCTAGGAGGACCTCAAGCAAGGAAACAAGGAGGAAACAGTAAGCGTGGAATCGAGGTAGCGTGAACTTGCAATTATTTTGTTGACCTGCATTTGGTGTTTCTGCTATGTGTGTTTATGTGCCATGAGAATGTTTATGCTCAGATGATGTGAACTCTTTGCAATGTATGCCTTGGCTCTTGCATGATTGAGTTTTGACTAGAATAATTATATGCTCCATGATATGATGACATGGATACAGAATGGTTATGGCATGGCATAAAGACTAGCAATATTATTTTACTGCATGTAGCATGACATCTTATGCATGTTGACTTGATGGTTGTATGTTCAATGCTACTGGGATTTCTATGAAATCTCATTCTTCCTATAACATGATATCCTAGGTGCCACTACTTCCAAGAAGAAGGGAAAATAAATAATCATGGCTTGAGGAAGTTATGAGTTATGTATTGTATTATACGGTTTTAAACCTTTCTCTTTCAAGCCATGTAAGCATATTCTGATCTTGAATACATGATATGATAACCTTTTGAAATGTATATTAATGGTAGAGCACCTTTAGATGTGATTATAGTATGCTTATAGTGAAAAACGAAATGGTGCTAGAATTAGTGAAAAAGGGGATAAAAATGGTCTAGATTTGACCAACTTTGACCAACGAAGACCCTGGTCAAATGGTTGACTTTTCCCTGAAATTTGGCATGCAAAGAGATCTTATTTTTCCCTTTAAAATGAGTGGTAAAGCGTCACAATTGGAGCTCTGTGCAAGAAGTTATGCCTTTTCGAAGTTAGGCAAAAATCTTGGAAAATAGAAAAATGACCAAATGAACAGTACTTTTCGAAATTAAAATCGGATGCGTTTATGATTAAAGTGGAACCTGAGGTCATTTTTTCTTGATAGATGATGTTAAGAGCTTCGAGTGAGACTTGGAATGACCTTGTTTCGATTTTTCTAGAATTAGTTATGATTTTCCAAAGTTATGCCAAGTTTAAGGTTACAGTGAATAGTAATGCGGGAAAAGAAATTTTCAAATTCAGGTTTTTCAACCCAGTAACCTTAATTTGCGCTTTCGAATATCTTAACTTGGCACAATATAAGGTCGCAAACGTAAGGTGTTACAGAAGTCGTCAAGCCCTAAAGTGAAGTTGTGAAGCCCTAAAGTGATGTTGGGAAGACAAGAGGTCACGGGTTTTTAATTTGGTATGTAAATGGTTGAGTCGATGGAATAAATGTGTAAATATTTATTAGTGAAGCTAACATACTGACTAAACGTAAATTTTTGCTGCAGATTAGTATGAAAAATGGATTTCAATAATCGAAGAAGCTGTGGGAAGGAGTTGTTCTGTTACGTGCACATTGGTGGACATTTTGAAGCAAATGGTGAAGGGATAGTTAAATATATTGGAGGGAATGTAAGGGTAACCAGTATAAAAGAATGGATAACAGTAGACAAGTTGTGTGGAATAATTTCACAGTGGATAGGTAATGATGGTGGTGGATATGAGAGTAAGTATAAAGTTAAATTTAATGAGAGTACATTGATTGATCTTTGTGATGATGGTGATATCTGCAACTTGTTTAGATATAATGACAGCAGTGATCATATGTATGTAGGAGGGAAAGGGAATGATAGGGAACCTAGAGCAAGGAATGATCCAGACGTGTAAGTGGTTATGTTTTCCAATTGAATCATGTGTATAGAAATATTGTAACCAAGCTAATGGTGTTGCAGTCCTAAATTGTAATTAGTAAATGCAAGCATGTTATTGAACATAGTGGGCATGTTATTTCTATTTGTAAACTTGTGTTTTAGAAATGCAGACTTGTTATTAGACATAAGTAGAGGTTTCCATATGTAGACTTGTAATTCAACGTATTGAAGTTACAATTATCATATACGGACTTGTTATTTAGATTTGTAGATGATATTTTACTAACCAGTAGTTTCTATATGGAAACTTGTTATGTGAGTAACTCAAGTTGTAATTACCATATACGGACTTGTTATTTTAGCAAGGAATAGTTTGTAGATGTAGACTTGTTATTTTAGTTACTAAAGTTGTAATAACCATATGCAGACTTGTTATTTAGATATGTAGACATGTTATTTTATTCAAACCTGTCGTTTGAATATAGCTGTCCTAACTTGGTATTATGATGGCAGGAGTGAGAATTTATTTGGACTTTCACAAGACATGAATACATTTAAAACGACCATTGGTGATGAACATAAGCCAGTGAATGTTGAGAATGGAGTTGAATGCCTGACTTTTGAAGGAGGCGGATCAAGTCAGAGAAGCAAGTGTAGTGGTTTAGAGAGTCAGGGAAGACTGACGAGCAAGATGAATTGTATGAAATTGGCAGGAGTGTTTGTAGGAGTGGGCCAATATGTTCCACATGCTGTTGCTTTTAGGGAAGCTGTGTACAGGTTCAGCGTTGCAGAGACGTTTGTAGTGAGATATACCAGGAATAGTAAGGAGAAGATGAATGTGAGGTGTAAAGTAGAAGGGTGTCCTTGGAAGATATGTGCACATGCTGTTGGAAAGAACAGTCATCTATTATGTGTGACTACATTTTGCAATAAGCACATTCATTTAGCCCAAGACAATTTGATTGTGACTTATGGTAGGAGTGCTGCGTTGACATCATCAGTAATAGTTGAAGAGATAAGGGACCATGCTGAAAAACGGCCCACTGAGATAAGGAAGATGTTGGAGAGGGAGTATGGTGTGAGGCTTACATATTGCCAAGCATATAGAGCAAAGGAAAAGGCAATAGAAGAAATACATGGGAAACCGAAACAGTCCTATATGTTAATACCATGGTTATGTGACGAGAGCCTTTCTTGTCATTCGCCTTGGGGTTCTCAATCAAAAATAAATCCAAGCTATGCAGTATAGTGCAAACTCAGGTCGTTTCACTTTTGGGAGCCTTTATTAATTACCTAAGCTAGACTAAATGCCATGCAATGCAATGAAATGGGGTTTTGGGTTTTTAAGATTTAAATGAATTGATCCAAAACTGAATGCAATGAAAACAAACCTAAGATACTATATTTTTGGTGTTTTAAGATAAAAATGATGTAATGGAAATGATTGATAGGAAATCTCTTGAAAATGGTTTTGATGGCAATCATAGTTCACTTAAATATTGGGAGTTTCACAAATCCATTAGGTTTTCTTAATAAGAACCTCATTAACTCAATGAGTCCAAAGCTTACATTAATGAACTCATTAATGTAAACTTTGTTTAGCTTCCCTAATGTGTAAATTGGAATGATCATGCAAATGGCTTAATGAAACACACAATCAACTCAATACCCAAACACAACTAGGCAAGATAAGAGAGAATCATGAGAGAGACATTAAGCATACATGCAACTACATATATTTAAGCTCAAAGTTCAACATCAATCAATCCAATATACAAAAGATAATCAGTAACCACTGATTACAGAATTAATCAAAGTATCTAACTAAGAGTTTACAATTCCTAGACCTAGGAAATCATAAATGCCTAGCTAAAAACTGAAGATTAAAACTAAAACTCCCCTTTGAAGCTTAGGAACTCATGCTACTCCACCATCTCCAAGAGTTGATAAACCTTAGCCCTCCATAGCTTCAAGAAAAGCTCCAACTGAAGTGAATCTGTCGGCCATGGTAGCTGGGAGTGGAAAGAAATGAGATGGAGTGAAGGAAAGAGGAAGGAAATGGATGGGGAAGAAGATGGAGATGGAGAGGCAAGAGGATGGGAGAATAGAGGTGTTGGAGGAGATGGAATGGAGTGTATCGTCGAAAATAGGGTTTCTAAGGGTTTTAGGGGTCTATCTGGGTCGGATCATATGATTAGAAGCTCCATTTTCGCGTTCTGATCCGGATCTGGCGTTGCTGATACGAAGATTTCCTTCGCCGCGGCGAAGCATGCCCGAGAGGAGCTCCGCCTAATCTTGTGATTTCACCGCGGCGAATCTGTAAGTTGGCCACAGCGAACTGTGCCCGAGAGATTACTGGTGAGATTTCAATTTGGCGCCGCGGCGAAGATTCTCTTCGCCGCGACGAACTCTATTAGTGCTGATACTCTGATCTTGTGTTGTGTCATCCTTTGGTCTTTGATCTTGGCTCCAATTCTCAATTGTCCTACAATAAAAAGCAACAATTTGAAGCATCAATTGTCCTATAAATCAACTGAATACAATTAATAACCAATTATGACAATCTTAACCTCAAAAAGACACTAACTCAAAGCAAGGACTCTTAATCTAAATTAACCACAATTATCATCAAAAGGAGCCAAAATCTATGATAAATACCCTTAAAATGATATGAAATAACATAGAATAATTGGGCTAAATCATTATGTGAAAGGTTGAAGGAAATTGATGACAAAATGGTTGCTGAATGGGCCTCCATTGGTAATAGATTTGAGCGTGTGTTCATTGCATACGGTGCATGTGTTGAGGGTTTTTTGAACGGTGCAAGGCCTATATTATATGTGATGGTACTCATTTAAGTGGTCCATATAAGGGGACGTTACTATCAGCTTCAGCATATGATACGGATAATGAGATGTTGCCGTTTGCAATAGCAGTGGTGAAGGGAGAGAATCTTGATGAGTGGACATGGTTTTTTCACAAGATTAAACAAATAGACCAAGGACATCACTCGGTTACTCACCCTGTTATTTCCACCAAGTGAATGCAGCAATCGTCGGGGAATGTCTTCATCGAACATTCTGATCAAAGGACTAAAACATATTCAAGTAAGTTACTAGATGTGTTATGTTAACATGTAGTCAACAAATAACATCACATAAGCAAAGATTTTCACTTACATCTCACCCTCATCAACGTTGACAGCTCGGCTGACTAAGTTGAAAAAAATATCCTTGGGCTCAATAGGCCTCTTCACTCTTGATTGTGCCTTCAACTCCAACCAAGGAGACTTGATCTTGCTGAACTGAACCCTAGTAGATCTCCTTAGTTGTTGTACCTCCATAGATACAGGTTCTGGATCAGGCCCAACATATTCAACAATGACCAGGGGGAATACCTCCATCGATGAGTGACCTTCTGCCTCATCACCTTCAACAGTGGGTGACACTTCCCTAGGGGGACTGGCTGCAGGTATGTCACCCTCTACATCATCACCTACAATATTGCCTGCCACTTCCATAGGGGAACTAGTTGTGGGTATTGCACTCTCCATCACAAGTGGTTGCTTGTCATCACCCTCCCCATCACCCTTGTGTTCTCTCTCCCCTTCACTCCTATAATCACCATCCCATTGACCCTCTTCCTCCTTCTCTTCATTGTCGCTGTCATTCTCTGTGTTACCCTTCCCATGACTGTCTCCATCTTCACTGCTTACTTCATCCTTCTCCTTTTCCTCAGTTGTGTCATCATTGTTGCGCTTCTCCTCCTCATCATCTTCAGAGTCACTTATATTTGTAGACACTGTCTCAACCTGAGCCTTTCCTCTTGATTTACCCTTCCCACCATCTCCCTGTCTTGGGATTTGCACCTTCACCAACTCCTCATCCACCATTTTCATTAGTATCTTTTTCCCTTCCTCTATCCTCTTCATTAGGCGCTCATGTAACTTCTTCAGCTCCTGCATGTAAAAGACATTAATCAATTAAGTATATACAACAACAAGTTCACTATGGGAAATGACACCTTCATTATGACATATTGACAAGTTCAGTAAACTAGATTACAATTCAGATATGGCAGATCACAAGTTCATTATACAGAATTACAAGTTCAGTAAACAAAATCACAACTTAGGTATGGCAGATCACAAGTTTATTATACCGAATGACAAGTTCAGTAAACCAAATTACAATTCAGGTATGGCAGATCACAAGTTCATTATACAGAATTACAAGTTCAGTAAACAAAATCACAACTTAGGTATGACAGATGACAAGTTCATTATACCGAATGACAAGTTCAGTAAACAAAATCACAACTCACGTATGGCAGATGACAAGTTCATTATACCGAATGACAACTTCAGTAAACCAAATTACAATTCAGGTATGGTAGATCACAAGTTCATTATATAGAATTACAAGTTCAGTAAACCATATCACAACTCACGTATGGCAAATGACAAGTTCATTATACCGAATGACAAGTTCAGTAAACCATATCACAACTCGCGTATGGCAGATGACAAGTTCATTATACCGAATGACAACTTCAGTAAACCAAATTACAATTTAGGTATGGTAGATCACAAGTTCATTATACAAAATTACAAGTTCAGTAAACCATATCACAACTCACGTATGGTAGATCACAAGTTCATTATACCGAATGACAAGTTCAGTAAACCATATCACAACTCACGTATGGCAGATGACAAGTTCATTATACTGAATGACAAGTTCAGTAAATCATATCACAACTCACGTATGGCAGATGACAAGTTCATTATACCGAATGACAAGTTCAATCAACCAAATCACAGCTCACGTATGGCAGATGACAAGTTCATTATAGCGAATGACAAATTCAGTAAACCAAATTACAATTCAAGTATGGCAGATCACAAGTTCATTATACAAAATTACAAGTTTAGTAAACAAAATCACAACTCACGTATGGCAGATGACAAGTTCATTATACCGAATGACAAGTTTAATATACAAAATCATAAGCCAGTCTACCCATTGATACGTTCAATATGGCCAATCACAGCATAAGTATTGCGAATAACAACTTAAGTTTGCCAAATTACAACTTAACAATGACAAAGCTATATGTCACTATAGCGAATCAGAACTTCAGTATAGGAAATGACAATAATACTATGGCAGATAACAAGTTCAGGTTACGAAATAAAAACTTCAGTTTACCAATTATACCACATACCGGGTCCAAAAACTCTACAATTATCCTCTCTTCTTTCCCTGTCACAGCTTCACTGCCTTTTCGTCCATACATAATTCCCCTAACACTCTTCTTCTCCTTGCTGGCCAATTCTTTTATCTTCTCATCAGTCCAGTATTCAATTGCAGTAGTGGACTCTCGGCCAACAAACGTGTTGAGGTTAAAATTCTCATAAAAAAAAAGCTGCAAGCCAGGCACATATATACAACATTAACGTTATGTACATCGGTAATCAAATGCAAACACAATGACAAACAAAATAGTAATACCAGAAGTAAGTATATGCAGCCACCAACAGTGCTGCTCCCCTGCCCTTCATTGCCCCGCCTGTACCCTTTGACATAGTCTCCCATTTCTTTCCAGAGGTCCTTTATAATATAAGTAGCCCAATCATACTTTCCAAAGTCATCCATTGTGCAGTGCATGACTCTAACCAACTTCTCACTCACTTTTGAGCTTGATTTCAGACATAGAAAAGTACCCAGGGTGTACAGCACAAATAAAAACTCGAATCTGTGATCCTTCTCCCCTGAAACAATGTCTTTTAGTGTTTTGCTGAATGACACTTTTCGATATTCATTTCTCAACTCCTGATACGTAGCATCACTCTCATCAACTTTAGTTTTCACCTCCTCCCCACCGTGACGGATTCCTAGCAGTTGCTTAACATCTTCTGCTCCTATTTCCTTTGATTTGCCCCTGATTGTAAATTGATACGTTGGCGGGTCATATGATCTCAGCATGGTCACAATAAGATCACAGGGTAGTCTCTTTAATCCAACCTTCAACAGCCTCCCGAAGCCCATCCTCTCAACCCTCTTCCTTAAGTCTTCATTATTGTTCACAAAGTGCAGTAATTTTCTTAATCCCTTCAGGGACACCCGGGTTAGAAATGATGGGACATGTTTCTTTTTCTCCTCTTCTCCCTTTTGAGGCCTTCTTTTCTTTACCTCTTCGGTGTACCTCATCTTCTTTTCAGCAGCTAAAGCTTTCCATGCATTTGACACAGCATCTCTTTTTTGTTTGGCTGTCATGTCAGGGTCAGCTATTGTGGCCATAAACTCACTTCTGAATAACAACCAACTGTTGTGTGCCTTTTTTGATCCAGAGGCTCCTTCTGATGCCATCTTCCTTTTCATGCAAAATATTCAACATACAATCCTTCACAACCACATTTACTAACTAACTATCACCTCTGTTAACAACCTATTCTGTAACCAACAGCCTTCTTACATCACCACCATTGACTTCTTATTTCGAAACATGAACTTGTAATTTCATATAAGCAAGTTGTCAATTTCTCAAAGTAAACTTGTTATTCTCAACTATTTCTCATGCTTGTTATTTTTCATCATTAACTTGTCATTTACAATTATCAACTAGTTATTTTATATTATAAAGTTCTCCATTTGTCATAGTCGCCTTTCTTATTCCCAACTTCTTATTGTCATTTTTGAATTTGTCATTTCCTATTGTTAACTTGTTAGGAACCCATGACAATCTTCTTATTCCCAACTGCTCAATAACTTGTTATTCATTATATTCAACTTGTTATTTCCTATTACCAACTTGTCAATTACACATTCTTATTTTGCATTATCAACTTGTCAATCCCCCTACTTCAATTTTGTCATTTTAAACGACACTATCACTTTAACATCTCTTCAGATCAATTAACAGTTAACCAATTCAATTTGCACTTTACCCATTCAAGTGTCGTCATTTCCCAAACTAATCTTGTCATCCTCCTAACTGATCTTCTCATTCCCTTCCTACCCAAACCCATTCGCCCATCTTCTTCCACAGATAACCATTTTTCGCCAATCAGTCACAGCATATTCAACAGAAAAAACATATATATACGTTCCTGCCCTAAACGCATTCCCTTCCCTCTCGTTAATGTATCACACAGGCAGCAACGAACACAAACAAACTAAAGCTTGAAACTTACCACCAGATTTTGTCGCCAAATGCTGCTATTAACTTTGATAGCCACACACGACTGTCACGATGCCTCTACCTCCTCCCTTGCCTTTGATAATGCCGATAGATCACTACTCCAGCATGACTTCGTTCTTCTCTCCCACAGCAAATACACTCTTCTCTCACACAATACTCCTCTCGCCGCAAAATGGAAACAAACTCCTGCGCATAAATGGACAAAGCAGACCGTAAAGAATGGTCGGGGGGATACAGAGGAAGTTATCGCGCATTTTGGGGGAGGAGAGCGCGGACAGGTTTTTTTTTCCTTTTCAAATGAGTGAGGGGCATTTCAGCCATTTAACACACATTTTATAATTGCAAATTGGGACCGGGTCCTCTACAGCAATTTCTCAAATTTAGAGTCCCTGATTGTCATTTTATATATTGGGGAGTCTTTATTTACAATTTTTTCTTTTTTGTTCCTTTCCTTCCAATTTTTATTTTTTTCCTATTGCAATTGAACCAAACGGTGCCTTACACGTTAGATTTTAAAGTATAAAAATACCCCAGTCAGCGCGGGAAAGTTTTTGCTCCAAAATGGCGCCATACGGAATCAGTCCCATCCAAAACTGACACCTTTCTCCCATAGTCTGCTTTTTAATTTCGTTCTTCTCTCAGGTCACCCCGTCTTGTTTTCAGTCTAACCGAAAAAAGTCACCCCTCTCCAAGTACTATTTTGGATTCTTACAAAACCCTAGCTTATTCCTTTCAAGATAACCACCTGGCAAGATGCAAATGGAGGGATTATCTTTGATTTGTGCCGGCTTAGGAGTCATTGAGGAAGACAAAGATGGAAACAGAATTGGCTACTCAAAAGATGAATACTGTCTTGGTATGATTCAGTTTCCTTTCCGTTTTTCCTTTTGGCGTCTGTTTCGTTATAATTTTTGGTTCCTTATTGATCGATTCACCGCCAGACAATTTAAAGGATTTGCTGAGATTTTTGAGACGTGATGATCCGCATACCCGAGATGTGTTCAAGCAAGTCTGTAAATGGAACATCGTTTCCAAAGATTTGATACCCATTATCGAGCACTGCCAAGAAGATCGCAACTTGCTTTTAAATGCAGGTTTTCATCGTCTCCATTTTTCTTGTATATATCTTTTTGGTCATATTTATGGGATTTATGTGTCATTGTGGTGGACTTGCAGTGAAGGTGCTAGTGTTCATCACGATGCCTATTGAGCCATCTTCAACACATATTTCCCAGCAATTAGAGTATCTTTGGGAGTTAAAAGCTTCAATAACAAGCAGTGATATTGTGGCAGTAACAGCCTCATTTCTGGAAGGCCCCCTCGAGAATTTGGAAAGGTGAGAGGAACATTTCGTAGAACTTTTCCTTTTGCTGAGAATGGTAGGTAATGAACGAAAACCAATTTGAAATCGCCCCACGTCTATTAATTGACGTTCTTCTTTTGGGTACTTTCGCAGTGATGCATTTACTGAGGATGATTGGAAATTAGTGCAGCTAGTACTTACTTTCTTTCGAAATATCCTGGCTGTTCAAGAAATCTCGTTGCAACATAAGTCAGGGGGTTCTGCTAGCCAATTACTATCACTGAGAGATAGGTTTCTGGAACTTTTGTTCCGTGAAAATGTGTTGGACATTATTTTGGTTATAATTAATTATGCTGGAGGTTCTAATGCTTTTCTCCGTCAAGATAACTTGCTCCTTCTGGAAATTTTACATTACATTTTTTTGGGTCAAGAGCCAGAGCTGATTGTCAGGGCTCATCTGGATGGATTAAAGGTCAGTTTTCCTACTATATTTAGCCTATTGTTTTGGCAATTACAAAATACTTTGTCAGGCTGGTGAGAAGCACATAAAAGTTAAGATGCTAAAGCTTTTCCTTCCATGATGTTTTTATGTCTTGCCCACAACATATGGCGGAAGTCTGTCTTTTATTGAACTTTCATATTTTAATTAAAAAAAAAAAGGTAGAATCTGGAAATTGACAGTCTAACTTGTAAGGGTTAGTTGGGTCCTATAGCATTATCTTTTTATATCTATTAAATCTCAAGTGCTATATTTTCTTGAGTTTTAATTTGTTTGATCACTGGAATGTTATTAATTTCCTATTAGGCAGATGAAGATTCTCAAGTGCCTCTTAATAGTCTCAAATCTGTCATGGAGGAGGAAGCAGAGAAAAGAAGGCGTTGTAGGCTGAACAGTATGATTCGGCATTCACAATTTAGTGGAACATTTGCACGGCTTACCATGGTACTTATTTTTAAGCTTTCACTGATTAGCATTTGAATGGAAGTTTTTCATGACCATGGTTGAATCTTGTGGGTAGGATGGTTCGAAAGCAGTGTTTAAGGGAAATCCCAGTTCTTGTAGTCTTCTACACAAGTCACAAAATGTCACTCGGGGTCCAGCAAAAAAAATTGCATGGGATCATCCAAAGTTTCTTCCAACAAAAGATAAGATATTGGAGTTGCTTTATGGGTTTATCAATCAATTTCTGTCTGGAGGATACAATGGTATGTTCTTTTGAATTAAATTGTTTCCTTTGAAATTTTATGACATGGGTTTCCATCAGTAAAGCTAGATTTTTCTTACTGGGAAATTTATCTTGGTGTCAGCTTTGATGCAATCAATTCGTGAAGATGTTGAAAAGGAACACCCTGCAATTCAACGTGGTGATGTCATAGTTTTCTTTGAGGTCGCTGAATTTGTCACTTCATTTCAGTTTTACAAGTATTCAGCTTCTAAGGTGAGAAAGCAGCAACAACAACGAGCGTTATCATTTTATAGTAATCTGATAATGGTTTCATTAAAAAAAGAAGCGAGAGACTTTTCATTACAATTGTTGCATTATGCACGGATGATCTAGAAAGAATACTGCAAAGTATATCTTGGTTGTGCTTATGATCTGATTAGCCCAATGCTCAAGTTGGCAAAGTTATCTTTATTCAATTTTAAGTTCTCCCCCCTCTTTCCCCATAACTGAATGGGCCATTCAACAAAATTTATAAACAAGCATTTACTTGATTCTCCTCTCCAGAAACTCTGAATTTCAACTACTATAAAGCTGAATAAAAAACACAGAAGTAGAACCTTAATTACTCAAAGTGCTTGAATATGCAATTTTGAAAATGAATAGTTAGCTATTGTAAGATCTACACTTTTTATGTTCATGCTTATTGCCTGCTAGTTGACACTTAGCTCCCCTTAGATTTGCCTGTGATGAGGTTTGATATGTGACATATAAAGTGTTCTAAATTGCTCTTGAGTCTCTCATTGAACCTATGCAATAATTTGAGTTGCACCATCTTGGGACTTCTCCAATGAGAGACTATTGGTATTAGAGTTCACGATGTTTGTTTGTTTTTTATTCAGTAAAAAGACACGTTCATTCAAACTTCAGTAAAAAAGATACATTGACTTCATGATGGTTGAATTAGATGAATTTCATCCTTTACAGTGTAAATGATTATTTGGTAATAGCGATGGTGAGGATGTTCATATTTCTGTCTTTTTGATAGATGAACAATGGAAAGGACCCACTTGAGGCTTTTGATGATAAAGATACTCTTGGGACAGATTTCAATGGTCAGATATGTGGGCCTGTTGCGGCAACCATGAATGAGGCGATGTTTCAGGTGGTCCTTTCAAAGTGGCGTCATGTCTTTGATGGTTTAAAGGAAACAAATGACTACAAGTTTCTATCAGCAGCTGGTTCTCTCATGAAGAATATGGTGATGCGAACTCTTCAATTTTAATAGGACATCCTTCTATGCTTTGTTCAGTTTTTGACAGTGTATCTATGCTCAAAGATGGTTGCACTTGATGTTAAAAAATAAAAAATAAAAGATCGGTTGATGCCTGATTGTTAATAGCCGTTTTTCATTTCTTTTATAACCATGTGCCCATGTTACACAGATGTTTATATGTTGCTATAAACATATCATCAGACAAGATCAATTTTATGGCACTCAGAATCACTTTTGAAATGGTGCAGTTCCAGTCTCAGTTTGTTCATTTCTCATTTCTTCCAGTTTGCTTTATTGCCATCCTTTTGTTAATCTTTTATTAATCCTAAGATGAAAAGTCATTGCTCAACATGCTCATGTCATCAAAATTGTACTTTTAATATGTTCCTTTTGGCATTTGGAACTTGATGAGAAAAATGAAGGGGTCTACTATTGTGTTCCTATAATTTATCAAATGTGGAAGTACTGTAGTAGCACTATGAACTCTCCATTTTCATGATTAGGCAATCTGCTCCTAATTGGGTTTTCATGCTTTCAGATTCTTATGCTGGATTTGGTTCTTAAGTTATTGCCAGAAGACTCTAAGGAACCTCAAACAGCTCGGATCCTTCTTTACAAATTATTTTATGATCAAACTGAGGAAGGGATGACTCAGTTTCTCCTGAATTTGATGAAAACATTTGATACACACAAACAGCCCAGAAGGTATACTTTTTTGTTCAAATGACAAATAAAAATTGCTCTGAGAAATTGAGTTCTAGATATTGATCTTTTGTTTCCTTTACAACAGGTTTGTCCTTGGTACTGTGCATTAGTCAGTAGTAAATATCATGCCACTAAATCGGTTAATCATAGTATCATATTGCAACATCTTCCTTGTTATAATTTTTTGCTCTGATACCTTTGCTAGTGTATTCTGATTTTGTCATTTTCTTTGACTGTGACCTCAACCTGGGTATTGTATGATGGGGCTTTCAAAACAGCAACTAAGATAAATGTACTATAGGGCAACTAAACTAGGTGTCAATCTCTTTGAGGAGCCAGTTACAAACTACTAGCTAACTAGGTGTTGATTACAAGTTAACCAAGGGAAATGACAGAAATGAGTTAACTATTCTAAGCTAGGATTTACGAGCTACTTGTTTATGATTTTCTGTGTTATTATGGAATGGATGATGGATGAAGTGAATATCCTTGATGATTGACTTAGCTAATCTTCCTAGTTCCAGTTATATCAAGTTCAATTGTATCTAACTAAGCCACTCAACTAATTAATTAGATAAAGTGCTTAAAGCTTAGCTTGAATTAGATTTGCTAAGGTCAGAGCTCTCTAAACTCAAACCTAAATCTAGATGAATCAATGTGTTGAGCACGGGCCGAAATTGAAGTATGTTAGACAGAGGAAGAAGCCCAATTCGGATGACTAGTGTTTCTTATGTGTCAAGGGTAATTTTGGGTATTCCTATGAGTTAGTTATGGAAAGAGGTGAGTATATTGTGTGGGAAGGCTAGGCGGGGAAGGCATGGACAAACTGAGTGAGGTTTAGGAGGGTCCGTGTGACTCTGGGTGAGTGCCGTGAGCATTACTGTTTTCGTTCTTCTGCTGTAATTCCTCCATTGGAGCTTATCTGTGGAGCTTTAGCTATCGAATAATACATTCAGAGTATTGAAGGTTCATTAAAGGTATCGGAGCAGTACTTTCTTGGGGAATGGTAAATACCTGTATGGAGTCCCGCATGGATGCTGTCGATTCTCGAGTCTTGCAAGCTGAACATTCCATAGAGCGTTTGAGCGGGGATGTGTTGACAATTAAATCCGATCTAACCACGGTCAAGTGCGACGTCGCCACTGTCACTTCCTTGTTGAATGAATTGCTGGGTGAATGGCGTGCGGGCAAGCGTGGTGACACTGGGGGTGACTCAGCAAATCATACAAATGGTACACCTCGGGTGATTGAGATCGAGGACTGTGGAGTGAGTGTAGTTACCGATAGCTCAAACTACAGGAGGCTTGATATGCCTCTGTTTTCAGGAGACGACCCCCTTCGTTGGGTTTTCAAAGTGGAACGTTATTTCAAGTTCAATCGGGTGGCTGAATCTGAGAAATTAGATGCTGCGGTTGTGTTTTGAAGGACGCGCACTTAATTGGTTTCAATGGAAGGAAGTCAGAGCCCCTGTTTCGACTTGGCTAGAGCTGAAACGTGACTTAGTACTCCGGTTTCACCCATCGCAATGCAGTAACTCATATGAGATGTTGATGGCTTTGCGACAAGACAAGCATGTTGCAGATTATATTGAACGTTTCGAATCAATTTCTGCTACGCTGGGAAATTGTGATGAAGTCCTTATCGCGGCATTCTTGAATGGCTTGAAGACGGAGATTAAGGCAGACTTGCGATTGCTGAAATTGGGCTCTTTAGCTGTGTATATGGATATGGCTCTATGATTGGAAGAACGTAACGGTGTGATGGCCCAATATTATAGCCCACGATCATCCGGGCCGCCTAGGCACTGGATCGAAGATAGGTTTTAGGGGCCGAGAGCTTTGTCCACACGATTGAGTCCTCAAACCACCTCCAGCAATTCCACTACATCCTCTACGCTCAGTACGGCCCGAGTTACAGAAAACAAGTCAACTGACGACAGTAAGAAGATAGTGATTCCCGTTACTTACACTTCCAAATCAGTTCCGAAGAAGTATACTGATGTGGAAATTGAGTGGCGAAGGGAATTAGGATTGTGTTTCAAATGTGATGAGAAGTATTGTCCGGGTCATCGTTGTAAGAAGAAACAATTGCAAGTACTAATTATGTCAGAGGAACCGACTGAGGAGGAAGAATCTCCGTTCGAACCAGCTCACCAGGAGCAGCCTGACCCAGACCCTTTTTTTGAGATCGAAAAGCACACTGGGCAACTTATGTCTCTGTCTTTGAATGCTCTGGCAGGCTTCACAGGTGGTAAAACGATTAAGTTAATGGGGACTCTCCATGGCAGGGATGTATTGATCCTCATTGACTGTGGTGCTACTCACAATTTCATTCATCACGACTTGGTTCTTGCCCTCTCTTTACCGGTGGATTCCCATTTTGCTTTTACTGTTCAAGTGGGGGACTCCCGCAATGTGAGGGGCTGTGGGGTATGCCGAGATGTTTCCTTCTTTGTGCAAGGGCTCCACATTACACATTCCTTGTACCCCTTTAAGCTGGGAGGGTCAGATATCATTCTTGGAGTTGATTGGTTAGCATTGCTTGGAGAGGTGTTGGTTAGCTGGAAGCATTCTACCCTCAAAATTGATCTGGGTGATGAATGGATTTGTCTTAAGGGCAATCCGACTTTGCATAAGACTCAAATGTCTTTCAATTCTCTTTATAGGACTACACAACCTGAGGATGAGGTGTTCTTTGTGGAATTTACTGAATTAAAGATGACAGAGCTTACGTATACTTCAATGGATAGAGAGGTTCAGACCTTATTAACGGAGTTCCCTGAAGTTCAAACACCTCTATTGAGGTTACCACCGCCCAGACTTGCTGATCATACTATTGATTTACAGCCAGGCTCCACCCTGCCAAATATCCGTCCATATCGGTATCCACATTACCAAAAGTCAGAGATTGAGCGATTGGTGCAAGAAATGCTCACAGCAGGAATTATTCGTCCTAGTAAGAGCCCTTTCTCTAGCCTAGTACTTCTGGTTAAAAAGAAAGATGGTAGTTGGCGATTTTGTGTTGATTATAGGGCTTTGAATAAGGTTACCATTCAGGACAAGTTTCCTATTCCAGCTATTGAGGAACTCTTGGATGAATTAGGGGGTGCCCAGATTTTTTCTAAATTGGATTTGAAATCTGGTTATCACCAGATTAGAATGAAAGAGGGTGAAGAACAGAAGACAACCTTTCGTACTCATAATGGTCACTATGAATTCATGGTCATGCCTTTTAGCTTGAAGAATGCCCCTTCTACCTTTCAATCACTCATGAATGATGTTTTCCGGCAGCACCTGCGAAAATTCATCTTGGTTTTCTTTGATGACATCTTAGTGTACAGTGGCGATCGGAGCACTCATTTTCAGCATTTGCGCTTAACTCTGCAACTGCTGCGACAACATTTCTTAGTGATCAATGTTAAGAAGTGTGTTTTTGCCCAGCCTAGGCTTGAGTACCTTGGTCACATTATTTCTGGGGATGGAGTTCATGCAGATCCTGCCAAGATAGCAAGCATGCAGTCTTGGCTTACTCCCACCAATCTGAAGAGTCTTCGTGGGTTTTTGGGTTTGACTGGGTATTATCGCCAGTTTGTTCACCATTATGGGTTAATTGTTGCACCTTTGACTGACCTTCTCAAGAAGAATGCTTTTCATTGGACTGAGGAGGCCCAGCCTGCATTTGACAAACTTAAGCACGCCATGTCCTCAACTCCAGTTTTGGCCCTCCCTGATTTTTCGCAGCCTTTTATTGTGGAAACCGACGCCTTAGGTACTGGGTTAGGGGCGGTTTTGATGCAGTCAGGACGTCCTATTGCTTACTTTAGTCACTCCCTATTGGCTAGGCACAGGACATGTTCAGTATAGGAGAGAATTAATGGCCATTGTCTTTGCAGTAAGGAAATGGCGTTATTATCTTTTGGGCCGACCATTCATCATACGGACAGACCAAAGAGCTCTGAAATTCTTGTTGGAACAGTGAATTCTTGATAGTTCCCAGCAAGGCTGGGTGTCTAAACTTATGGGCTATACTTTCCAGATCCAATACAAATCGGGGAGGACTAATTCCGCTGCTGATGCCCTGTCGAGGCAGCATGAACAATGTGGGCTCAATGCCATTACTATGGCTCAATAAGTTGATGTGAATACTTGGGATACCGAGGTTCAAAAAGATGATAGTCTGGCTCAAATTATCCAGCAATTAGCTACTGGTCAACCTACTACCCCGGGCTATGCACTAAAAGGTGGTCATCTATTTTTCAAAGGCAGCTTAGTCTTACCTAAGTCATCGCCATGAATTCCCCTGTTGCTACGTGAGTTCCATGACTCTCCTACTAGGGGTCATTCTGGATATCTTCGGACCTACAAGAGGCTTGCTTCTCTTTTTTACTGGGATGGTATGCGTCGAGATATTCAAAAATATGTGGCTGCTTGTGACACCTGTCAACGTAATAAACATCTCGCATTAAGTCCTGCAGGGTTGCTCCAACTCCTTCCTGTTCCAGATCAGGTGTGGACAGATATCTCTATGGATTTTATTTCTGGACTCCCTAAATCGCAATGTTATGATACTATTCTGGTGGTCGTTGACCGTTTCACAAAGTACGTACATTTCCTACCACTTCATCATCCTTATACCGCAAGTGATGTTGCTGACTTATTTGTTAAGGAGGTGGTTCGTCTCTATGGTTTTCCGCCCTCTATTGTTTCTGATAGAGACAAACTCTTTTTGAGCACTTTCTGGAAGGCTTTGTTTAAGGCTGTGGGAACTTCCCTGAATTATAGTTCTAGTTACCATCCTCAAAGTGATGGTCAAATAGAAGTGGTTAACAGGAGCCTGGAAACATATTTAAGGTGTTTTTGCAGTGACACTCCACAGACGTGGGCCAAATGGTTGTGTTGGGCGGAGTATTGGTTTAATACCAATTACAATCGGTCAACCGGCATGTCACCTTTTCGTGCTCTATATGGCCAGGATCCTCCTACATTGTTTCGTTTCCAGGAATCCACTTCCCCTGTTGATGCTGTTACTACTCAGCTCCAGGCTCGAAATGCTATTCTGGATGAATTAAAGCAGAATTTACAACGTGCCCAACAATATATGAAGTAATATGCTGATAAGAAACGTCGCGATGTCCACTTTAATGTTGGTGATACTGTCTATCTTAAGCTCCAGCCGTACAGACAACATTCTCTTGCTGTCCGCCCTAATGAGAAGCTCACCCTGCGGTTTTATGGTTCTTTTTTAGCTTTGGACCGAATTGGCAGTGTTGCTTATAAGTTGCAGTTACCCCCAGAGGCAAAAATCCACCCGGTGTTTCATGTGTCTCAACTCAAAAAATCACTTTCTCCAGGTCTCATTTCCCACTGTCTTTCGCCTACGCTAACTGTCGATCTGGAGCTCTAAGTTTATCCTGAATCTGTGTTGAAGCATCGTAAACTCACAGATGGTCGTATAGAACTTCTGATTAAGTGGGTTAATTTATCTGACTATGACAGTACTTGGGAAGATTACGACGTTATTCATCAACAATTTCCTACTTTTCACCTTGAGGACAAGGTCCATCTTGATGGGCAGGGTATTGTTGAGCACGGGCCGAAATTGAAGTATGTTAGACAGAGGAAGAAGCCCAATTCGGATGACTAATGTTTCTTATGTGTCAAGGGTAATTTTGGGTATTACTACGAGTTAGTTATGGAAAGAATTGAGTATATTGTGTGGGAAGGCTAGGCGGGGAAGGCATGGAAAAACTGAGTGAGGTTTAGGAGGGTCCGTGTGACTCTGGGTGAGTGCCGTGAGCATTACTGTTTTTGTTTTTGTTCTTCTGCTGTAATTCCTCCATTGGCGCTTATCCGTAGAGCTTTAGCTATCAAATAATACATTTAGAGTATTGAAGTTTCATTACAATGACATGGAAGTAATCACAAAGCTGGAGGATTAGGAGATAATCATAGCCATTAAAAACAAATCCAATACCGGTACTAATATCTAGATCACACAAACCAGTAGCAATCCTCAATACATACATCAATTGAACCACAGTCAAGGTACATAAAGAGTGGAAATTGAAACTAGATACAAATTAACTTTCCAATGGGCTCAAGGAACTCAGAATAGTTTCATCAACATCAATAAGTGATGCAAAACACACTCACACACATTTGAATAGATGCAAACTGAAGTGACTTAAGGGAGTAGAGATAGAAACAAAGATAGGGGAAGGGGAAGGGAAAGGTTAGCCAAAACAGGGAGAAAAAGGGAGAGAGAATCATAATAGAGGGAGAGAGAATAGAGGCTTGAGAGAATCACATGACTCACAATATCATTCATTCATCAAAATGTAATTTCAAAGTACATAAGATCTCCTATTTACAAGCTAAGGCTTCCTTCCATCACCTTGTAGATAATAAAAAGAAAAGGACATCCACTTGCATAACAAGTTGCTAAAATATCTCGACACTTGCAATGAAAATACATCTACTTGATAGCAATTTGCTAACAAAAAATACATCTACTTGATAACAATTTGCTAACAAAATATCTTGACACTTGCCTAAAAGATAATATAAATAAATTAAAGCTCTCTTTTATAGTAAGCTATTCCCAAAATATTTTAACTCCCATATTCTATCATTTCTTCCTAAAATATTTGTTCCCATAGTTTCTATCAATAAGTGGACAAAATCATGAGCTCATGGCAGAAGAATAGCTTTATTGAGCTTCTGAAATGGAAGTAAAGGTTCTTGGCTCTCCTCTGGTAATCAAACTTTGAAATGGAAGTGAAGGTTGATTGGACTAGGGAAAAGAGGAAGAATGATTGGTGGAAAGTGGTGGAATGTGGTTGGAAATGGTGTGGAGTGGTAGGTTGGATGGAAGAAGGGCAAACAAGATGAAGAACATGAGTCTGAGATGAAAAATGTCTGAATCCTATGAAAATTGTGTGCCTATGTGGTATGTAAATCTGATTCGACGCTTAGTTGTGGTGCAACCTCATCATCATTGCGGCAAAGACCCAACACAGTGTTGTCTTGGTAAGTGATATGGTCCCTTTCAATGAATGGCTTCGCCACAGCGAACGCATCCTTGTGCCTCGATGAATTGTCCAGAGTACTCTAAATGTTGACTTCAAAGCTATTTGCAATGCAAACTAGCCCAAGGGATCAAAAGCGCACAACCACAAAATCACATAAAACACACAAAACCTCAGTTAACTTAACTAACCCTTATGCACAATGAACTCTAACTATGCCCAAAATGGATAAAAGTAAGTGACAAAAGCATAAGTTTAGATATAGAAATGTATGCAAATAATGAGCTCTATCAGGGTTATGAAGAAAAGTATATTATAATGATAGAGTCCAATGTTAGGGCTTGTTTATAAATTACTTATTTTAAGTTATTTTTAATCTTCAGTTTTATGTTGTTATATTTCAGCTATCCTTTCAGACTATTACAATGGGGTTATTTAAATTTTAGTTATTGTCAGTTATTGATAATCCTTATCCTAGAATATAGTAGATTATTAGGAAGTTATTAATCGGTTATTCTCAGTTATGCTTTCAGCCTATTTAAATCTATTATATGATGACATTAGGGGTATGAATGAAAGTATATCGTACAGGAATTTCCCTCTTCTCTCCTAGGATTTCAGATACTAATTCTAGGCTCTCTCTCACACACATCTTTCTTCTACCTTGTCACCTGATTTACTCCCTCTCTTCTCTCTCCCAATTTTTACTCTCTCTTCTGCAGAACCTAACAATGTAGTAGCAGTGTATGGATGAGAAATAGGCAAGAAATGAGCATATTGGCTTATTCTATCAATTATAACCCTATTGGTGTCTTTACCTCTAGATTTAGGATGTCTTTTAATGAAATCACTTGTAATGCTTTCTTAAATTCTATTCCTTCGGTCCTTAATATAAGATCTATTTAACTAATTAGATTAAGGAAGTTAGGTAAGTTAATTAGTTATAAGAAATATGATATGTTTTTCTTAAAACACCATAATCATCTTTCTTAATATCTTCCTTCCTTCTTCTACTTGATTATAGTTGAGGGAGTATTCATGGGGATAATTTAGGAAAAATTAATAAATACGAGAAATAAATTTTATATTTAGGACCAGAATCAACTCAACAAGTGGGTCCTATATTGAGGACTGGAGGAATATTTGGGATTTTTAGAGGCTGCAATAGACCTGGAGAAGCAGGGATTCATGCTTATATCTTGTAAACACGTCACAATGCTCTACAAAGTCTTGTTAATCCTTTAACAATTTCTTTCACCAAAATCGGATAACTCTTTGATAGGTGGCTTGAATTTCAGAATGTTAACCTTGTGCACTAGCATGTAACCACTTCAGAATTTGTTTCCTTAAAGGTGGAACCTTACCCACCATTATCTGGCCTCTTCCCTAGAAACTTGCCATCCCAAGTGTAAGCTTTGATGCTGCCATTTTGCCTCTGTAACTCAGAAATTTGGCCTCTTAAATCTGGGTCACTTTTCCAGCTTTCTTCAATCTTCTGTGACAACTCTGGAGACACTTTATTCAAGGGAATTTGCAATATTTGAGGCCCAGGGAGGCTGAGAGAGAGCATCAGTTGCTGTATGATCATTTGCCCTTATATTATATCTCATACTCATACCACATCAGTTTCGCAACCCAATACATTTGAAAGGAGGTCTTTAATCTCTATCCTAGCAGAAAACTGTAGGCTTTTCTGAACAGTCAGATAATAAACTTCTTTTCCAGTATTGATGGTAATCTCTACTACCAATAATGTAGAGAGGAGAGGTGAAGAAGAGGAGGGGGGAGGGAAAGTAGGAGTCTGGGTAATGCCTGGATAGTTTCGGATTCAACAACACCCTTAGGTTTTGGTCCCTATGCCTTATTTACATACAATTATAGACTCCCCAGTCCGTAACTGTTGCTATCTAAGTCCTAACTACCTAACTAACTCATTTCTTTTATTATTTACATAACATATAATGTGACCTAATTTTACGTGTGTAATTGTCTGTTCTGCACTGTATCCTACTGAAGTCGTATGAGACTGGTGTTTATTTTGCTCTCATATGAATACTTGTTTATTGTCAGTGATCTTGCAGATTTGGTTGAAATTATTCATAAAGTTGTGAAGCTGCTGGAAAACCTGCAGGCTCGTGGAACATTAAGGGTAAGCTGACCATTCACAAAGACAGTCACTCACATGACAGCTATTTGTCTCCCACAATTTTTGAGGTTGTTAGCCATGGTATGGGAATTCAGGGTTCATTACAATGGCTCTCTGAAGCATACCTGAAGCATAGAACTTGCTTGTTGCTCCAATTATGATCTTATAATTTTTTACAGTGCTTTCAGATTTGAGATTATACATATTCAAAATTTCTAATACTTTACCATCTGAAGTTTAGATATGAAAATAAACTAGAAGCTCTATTCTACAATTTTAAGTCTTAACTTTTAAAGTGTAGCATAAATTTTGTTTCTATTTCTCTGCTAAATCTTTCTGGTCTGTGAATTAAATGTTATCGGTCTTTTCTTTCCTTTTTTCTTTTAATTACTTGAAGGTGTCTAGAAAATTAAGGAAGGTGAGAAAGAAAAGCTTCCAGGATAAAATTGAAACAGGAGACAAACTTTGCAGAGATCATTCTTGTGCAGAAAATGAGGTTGGTGACTCTGGCTCCAATCAATTATTTGAAAAGAAGATGCCAGACAAGGATTATGTGCCAAGCAGAAATTCTGATGGTGAAGAGGACTTTGTTGACCCTGATGATGATAGTCAACATGAAAAAATTGTTGAAGAAGATGATAACTCCCTTGGTAATTTGGAACAGATAGACTTCAGAAATTCTGAGCATGCTAGTGGGGGCTTGTTACATGGGACTGGTGATTTTTCTAATGATGAGCAGCAAACTGAATACAATGAAGTTGATTTCAAGGTTTCACATCTGGTCTCTGCCTTTGCAAATCACAATATTATTCAGAAAATATGTTGGCTGCTCAAGTTTTACAAGAGCAATTCCCTAGCTACAAATCATTACATAATATGCATATTGCAGAGGATCTGTGATGACCTTGAGCTTCATCCAATGCTCTATCAGGTTGTTATTGGGAAACATTTACAACTCCAATGAGTGTCTAGCTGTTAATGAAATTAAGTATTATTTCTTAATTGTGTTACTATTTTCTTGCAGTTATCATTGCTCACCACATTTTATGACATTCTGTTGGAACAAAGAAAATGTCCATCCCAGAAATATGCAAATATTGTTGATTTTCTGACCAATTTGATTAGAAAAATGCTGAAAATGATGAAAAAACAACCACTTCTTTTTGTGGATATTCTTTTTTGGAAGACCCGAAGGGAATCTCACTACATGAATGCTGAATATTTGTTGGATGAGCTTAATCATTTGAAGAAAGAGAGTACAAATTTGAGTTCTATTCAAGTAGAAAAGTTGTGGACACGTAGAAGCTTGGCAGATGCACTTGGTGATGATGAAGCCGATGTTGTGATCACTCATGACTTGGGATATCAAAAGTAAGATCAATTGGACCATTTCTGCATGTTGGCTTCTTAGTTAACTTTCTGATTGTCTCAGGGAATTGTTATCAAGGTCAAGTCAAGTAATTCCAGAATCTTGACTATCTGATACTAATTTGGTGTTAACAAACATTAACTTTATTTTATTTGCTATCCATACTTGATTTCTTATTGAGTCTTTATTGAATTGGCATACTGCAAATAATCATCCACATAGATAACTCTGGCATTCCTTTTATTTTATCAGCAATGATGAAAAACTTAATGATGCCAATGGATACTTTGTTTCTTCCCTAGTCAGTAGGGAGGGAAATGATGATAACGTTATGTAGGTTTACAACTTTTGTGATCAAAGTTTGCCTGGGAATGTCATATTTCTGATGCTTAATTGACTTGAATTTTGCAGTGGGGAGCAGTTGATAGAAGATGAATCAGTAAGGGCTCCAAGACAAAGGAAAAGGCTTCATCTTGATGGTGAACTAGAGAGACAAATAAAGGATCTAACTGAGAAGTATGTTTAATTTAGTTTTAGTAAATTTTTAGCTCTGCTTTGAAGGGAATCTGAAGGATTGATTCTTTATTTTGTATTTGTCACCACTGATTGGTGTGTGCGACTGTGATTTTATTTTTGTTGGTTTTCAATCACACATGCTTAGAAGGTTTGTCTGCAGTTTCACCACTGGTTCTTGTTGTGTAATGGCCGTTTCAGATTCAAAGATGATCAACATTGTAGTAGTCGTATTGCTCAAGTGCTAGATTCAGATGGTAAACTTTCAGGTGCTCAAATTTCCCGTCAGCTTAAAAAATTAGGGCTAAGCGCACCAAGGAAAAAGACTGGCAATCCTGGTGAACATCATTCAACAAGCACTAGTCAGTTTGAAGGTGAAGGAAGTACAAAGAAAGATTCTAATCTTCATAAATTATTGAATTCTGAGCAAAATCCCTTGGGGCAGCATCTGTAAGTATATATAAGCTTTTGTGCATATGGAGTTTATGACTTAAAAATCATTTTCTTGGGTTACTTTCTGTTGCTTGCATATAGTTTTGTAATGGCTAACAAAAAGCCTCGGTCATTTGTACCCTTGAGCATAGAAACCTTAATGATTGGTTCACTTCAATTTAGCATAAGTAGCTTTAATGCTAATGTAGCGACCATTGTTTGGCCCTCCCTGAAGTTTCTGTATTATTTATTTGTAGGCCAAAAAGAAAGAGAGTACATGCCTTCAGTGAAGATCAAGAATCTCTCATTAGAGCTCTATATGAGCAGTGAGTATCAGTATCACTAATCTTGAATACTTAGTTGTAGGTATATTTTATTTCTCTCATCTGCTAAAAAGAGTATATCATGGACAATTCCAAGTTCTGGGTCTTATTTTGTAGCTTTGACTTCAAGAGGATGAGAAAAATTGATGGCTTTTTGGCTTTGAATGCGTGGGTTTTGTTACTTCTTTAGGTTCAAGGACCATAGAAGATGCTGCTACAAGATAGCCAGTGCACTGGATATGGATGGGAAATTCACTTCTCGCCAAGTGTTTAGTAAACTTAAGCAGCTTGGCTTATCTGTTCCTCGGAAGAAGAATTTGAAAGGCAATATGTACGCAAGGGATGAAGATCTTCGTGACTCTTTTACAGATAAAGCAGACGGGTCTGATGATGAGATGCTGGTATCATTAATAAAGAGGTAATATTATTTTGATATGTATGTGTATTTTATACTCGACACTATATTGAAAACCTTGCCATATATATTTACTGTAATTTTCATTTCCATTGATAATTTGAATATGAAATAAAGCACCTGCTTTGAGTTCATCAGCCATTACAAGCACAATGGACCTTAATCACAGTAATGGCTTTGAGTTGTTCATTATCCATTACTGTAATTTTCGTTTTCACTTAATAACGTTGCTGCTTGCTTTCATGAAACTGCCTTCCAATAATCATACTAATTTAATGTCTATTCAATTGTAGGAAAAAAATGCAGAATGGGAAGATTTCATGGGAAGAGTTACACAAAAATTCAACCAAAGAGAAATTGTCAAAAGATGATTCTGATGATGAAATGCTCTGCTCTGTTCTTAAGTAAATCTCCTTTTACTTTCCTTTTCTTGAACATTTTGGAGATGGGAACCACAACATTTATATCTGGCTTGCATTTTGTTTTCAATTTCTCTCGTTCCCCTTCCTTCTGCAGTTCTGCCCATGCATAAAAAATTTGGCAGTTTGATCTCATATTTCCTCATGTATGTTATTTTGTTCTTTTTACTACCTTTTTGTGTATCCATCAAACATGCTGTTTTATAATGTTACCTTTGATTACTATTCCTTGCTCTGCGTGTTTCTTTATTGTCTCCATTCATGTTCTCTTATACAGCTTTGTTATCATCTTTTTGCTGAGTATCACGGTTTGTGCTCTTACACTTTCTGTTTGTGAATACTTCAAATTATAGATTTTTCATTTTTTTAATTTACGTTGTAGTATTTTCCAAGGGTTCTCTATGTTGACTCAAAGAAACCTTTGGTAATAATAAGTTGATCAATTGGTATGCCTCAGTTACAGTCCTGCATGATTATTTCAAGTTTCTTTAAATGAAATTTAAGATTTTGTCAAATCTTGTTTTGCTCTGGTTGCATGGAACGATCCTTAGATCCCTTCCAATTATTGTCTGTTAATCTGTAGGAAGAAAATGGACAACAGTAGTTTTTCAACGGAAAAATCACTTGAAAAGTCCAGCCAGGCGAACTTGTCAGACATCAATGCTGATGATGAAATGCTCGGCTCTGTTTTCAAGTAAATTTTTCTCACCTTCTATTTATGTGAATGTATTTGTTGAAAATATGGACCATTAGCTTTTAGACCGGGCATGTAGTTCTTTATTTTTATCTTATGTTTTTTCTGTTCCTACTACATGTAGATGTATTTCTATGTGTTTAGGGTATTGATTTCATATCACATCATCCCATCCATTCATCCTCCTATTTTTAGATGCTAACTAATAGTGATAATAGGAGCATAAAAGTTCCCTAACCAACAATGCCTAACTAATTCCATGTAATAATACTTGCAGCCCGCCTCCCAACGAAAGAATGGGACACATTTTTAGTTTCTTGTCGTGATCTTCAAGGACCCAAAGATGCTTTAGCAATCCCCAAACTGATCCCAGGTGCTTTTGGATCCACGTAGCAGTAAGCAAAGACTGATTTTTACATGACGTAATCAATTGACCTTTACACTCTAATTCCACATCCACACTCTACGTTAGGGCTCATGAGAACTCCTAATGCTAATTTCTCGAGGCTTTCTTTAAAAATATTAAGCGAATGTTAGCCAAAACAAAAACTGCAGATTTGTTGAGGAAGACGGATGTGAAAAACTGTTGGTGGTTAGGTGCTGCTGGTGGAGAGCCCAAGGGAAACACAAGGAAAGTAGAGATGAGGATTGTTAGGGTTTAGGTACACTGAACTTTTTGTGTTAAAATCAACAAAAAGTCTGACTACACCTTGAGAAAATGTGATGTCACCTTGAGTTGATACTCAACTTCCAATTGTCGAGAGACTAAGGGAAACATAAGAAAAGAAGAACTGAAAGCAAGTTTTGGTTTTTGATTGATTAGTTGTCGCCGCTATCAAGTTGGAGGAAATTGAGTTTACTGATGTTGAACTGAATGCTTTAATCTTTTGGGTATCTCAATCCTTAAGTCTTGCTTCTAGCATCATTGGGCCCTGTTAGACATGTCCAATCTGATTGTCATCATTGCTAGCAAATTTTTTCTAATTCAGATCCAAGATTGAATTACACTGACTTGCTATCAATCTCATCATGGATCTGTTGACCTTGATTTTCACTGGGATGATTCTGGGCATTGATTCCTTGTCTGTGAGTATCTTCCCCCCCTCTTTTTTTGAAAGATACGTTTTCTTGCAACTTCTTGGCCTGGCTTGCATGAGGCATCGTAGCTCCAAGGTTCATACTTGACTTTATCCCAATCTTGGCTCCAGAATTGGTTTATGGTTAGCTTCAGCCACGCTACAGCAATGTAGCCATGAAAGCTTTGATCGTGTTATAAACTTCATTGAATTATTGATGTGGTGTAAATTTTTCTCAAATATGAGCTTATTCTCAAGTCTAGCAAGTGCTCAAGCTTTCCAAGTTGTACATGTGATTCCATGAGTGTGATGCATTTAGTTTCTATATTGTCGTATTTCCTAAGCTGCATGGCATGCATGTTTCTTTATATATGTGGATAATAGTTTACTTTATTTAAAAAAAATTAGAAAGCAAAGCTTGCCAATCTTTGATTATCCAAAGGGAAAACAAACCCTTCTAATATAGCACCCTACAACACCAATAAGATCACTATACTGGATAAAAGGTTACCTAAATGTTTACCTTGAAAGTTCGGGTGCACTTTTTCTTTGATTTGTCATATAACAATAGTTACGCTCTACTTTAGAGAATGATCAAGGATGAATCCAATATATGCTAAAAATGCCAAAAATTCTTCACAAGCATTGAGTAGCTGGATAATGTAGAAGTGTGTTATGTAATTATAATTATAGTAGGATAAATAGGATTCAAATGATATTAGTAGGATTTAGATAGGATTTATTTATATTAGTAGGATTTGGATGATATTTAGATAATATTTAGATAATATTAGGATATCTATTTAGGTTTATATCTATTAGGGCTTTTGCTTATAAATAAGTACCCACTATCCCTTGTAACTCTGTTTTTCAATGTGATTAGAAGTTATTTAGTTTCTCTTGGTCTTCTTTATGTCTCTATTTTCCCTTTCCTCTTTCTCTCCCTTGTTTCTTTACTTTCCCTAACAGTGGCATCAAAGCCCTGTGCTCCTCGACCACTATCATTCTAAATATGGATTCTATCGCTGCTGCTGTGCCAAAAATGAATTCTATAGTGGAACAAATCCAAACCATGGTTTGACGGCTTGATGAACTAAGGAAGGTATGGCATGAAACTCTAGCAATCTTAAAGCAAGAGGTAGCGGACTTGAGAAAAGATTGGGAAGCTGAGGAAGCAAGAAAAGCCTTAGAAGATCATGAAGAAAGCCTGACAGCTCAAGAAGGCTTGGAAGTTCAAGAAGTAAATACGTCATGCCAAGCAGAGTCCACCTAACTACAAGAGTCATTGGGATTCAACAAGCAACCAACGGTCACTACCGAAGAAGTGTTTGTTGAAGTGCAAGAACATCTTGAGCTTAATGATAGTATCAAGAAAGATTTTCCACTCGAGTATGGAAGTAAAGAGGGTTCCAGTGATTGAGCAAAAGATTTGGCAGTTCAAGATATGATGAAAACACCCTCCACCATACCAATGACAGCTTTTATAAGCTTAACAAAGGAAAAGTCAAAGGTACAACTCCCAACAAGAATGGGTTTGGCCTTTGTGGGCCTTGTCTTTCAAGAGAAGAGTTACAACTCGTTGCCACCATTGATCAATTTTAATTGGGTTTTTCTTGTTCCTGTTTCTCCTACAAGATGCTTGGTTCAGATTTGGTTCAAATGCAAATTAATCAAGATGCTTTTTTGGTGTTGGTTTGTTATGACTTTGTGTACTTGACCCTTGAGGGCAAGGGTCTTTTGGTGAATGGGTATAGTTATGTAATCATAATTATAAATAAGAAAATATTTAAATATGATATAAGTAGGATAAATAGGATTTAAATGACATTAGTAGGATTTAGATAGGATTTAATTATATCAGTAGGATTTGGATAGATTAGGATATTTAGATAATATTTAGATAAAATTAGGATATCTATTTATATTTGTATCTATTAGGGCTTTTGCTTATAAATAAGTACCCACTATCCTTTGTAACTCAGTTTTGCAATGTAATTACAAGTTATTCAGTTTCTGTTGGTCTCCTTTATTTCTCTATTTTCCCTTTCCTCTTTCACTCCTATTTCTTTACTTTCCATAACAAAATGTTTGCTATTTTATAGATGAAATAAATACATAACCAGACAAGAAGAGAATGGTTTGTTGTGTTTGCAAGCCAACAACAAGTTATTATATTTTCTTTAATATTGGATACTACTTCTGCCTAAAAGATAGATTTCACCTTAGAATGAGTGTGAAACCTAGAACCGAGTGTAAATTGACCGGCCTAAGTGCCCAAGGGCCTCAACACCTCTTGCTAGCCTAAATGAAGAGGCTTCATCCTAGTGCATTCTTCAGGTGCTTTGCATATGCTAGATTTCATTTACACAGAGATGCATCCCCAAAGGCCCATCCAAACGATAATAACTATCATGTGAATAATAATTGATAGCTGACTATTTAGGGCTTTGGCTTTAGTGCAGTGTTTTAATAAGATTATTATACTTGGGAAAAAAATTTAGTTTTCAAGTGTTATTACAATAGTTCATGTCTATTTCTTAACTCTTGGGTTCAGTTTACAATAGACTATTTTATGCATAATACAAACATATCATGTTTTATTATTTAAGCTATTTTTCTTTTGTTATAGTGATAGAACTTGGAATATTCCTCTGTATTAATGTGATAGCCCGGAAGCAGTACAAATCCCCCTCCTTTAATGAGGTAAGGATGAGGAAATGTGAATACAACTTAAAATAGCTAGTCCGGCAATGGAATAGAAAAGGTAGCAGTAAAACGGTAGAAAAATATAGAGAGAACGGAAAATGATAATAGTAGGTCCTCCCTGACGTTAGAGAGGTCAGAGGCTCTCCCAATCCTTCCACATGTTCCTTCTCTCCTTTCCTTGGCACGCAACCCTAGAAAACTAACTCTGAGAGCCATTGGGCTGGCCGCATGCTGTTGGGCCTAGTTTGGGCTTCCTTCTGCTGTAGGTCACGTCCACCTTGGTGTTGGGCTCATCATCTGGCCCCTCTACAAGACTCACCTTGTCCTCAAGGGGAAAGCGGGGAAACTGCGTTTTAATGGTTTGCAGCTCCTCCCTAGTGTTCTCGCAATCTGGTAAGTCCTTCCATTTGATCAGGACCTGCTTACTCCCATCAGTCATCCCACGAACCTTTACCATTTCCTGGGGCTGCACTTGCAATTCATAATCCTCAGATAGAAACTAGGGCAGAGGCTGAGCTTGTTCAGTAATGGAAATCGATCTTTTGAGCTGAGAGACGTGGAAAACGGGGTGGACTCGGGCCGTATCTAGTAGCTTGAGCTTGTAAGCTACCTTCCCAATTTTCTGCAGAATCTCATAGGGACCGTAGTACCTAGGAGCCAGTTTTTCGTGCAGATGCCTGGCTAAGTTCTTCAGCTTGTAGGGTTGGATTCCAAGGTACACCAAGTCCCCTACTTCAAACTCCAAGTCCCTCCTTCTTCTGTTAGCTTGATGCTGCATCTCTGACTGTGCCCTCTCAAGGTGAGATTTAAGGATTTGAAGCGCCTCATTGCATTCCTTGATCTGCTCATTCACTTCCTCAACCTTCGACCCATCATCCTGCCACTTGAAGATGGTTGGGGGATCTCTGCCATAGAGAGCTTTAAAAGGGGTAGTTCCAATAGACCGGTTGTAGAAGGTATTAAACCAGAACTCAGCCCACGGTAGCATCTTCACCCATTTCTTAGGGTATTCGCCTGCGAAACACCGCAAATAAGTTTCCAAGCTCCGGTTGACCACTTCGGTTTGCCCGTCTGTTTGAGGATGGTAATCGGAACTGTATTTCAGTGTTGTTCCAGATTGCTTAAACAACTCATGCCAAAATTGGCTTACAAAGACCCTATCACGATTTGAAATGATGGATTTAGGGAATTTATGATGCCTAACCACCTCCCAAATGAAGACTTCTGCTACCTCAACAACAGTAAAAGGGTGTGATAGTGGTATGAAGTGAGCATATTTAGTAAGGCGATCCACCACCACCATAATAGTGTCGAATTTGTTTGATTTTGGCAGGCCCACAATGAAGTCCATGCTGATATCTTCCTATACTTGGGAGGGAATTGGTAGGGGTTGCAAAAGCTCGACAGGATTGAGGGCTTCATATTTGTTTCTTTGGCAGACATCACACCTAGCAACTTGTTCTTGGACATCCCTTTTCATTCCTTCCCAATATACTACCTCCGACAGTCGTTTATATGTTTGCAGGTAACCTGAGTGCCCCCTTACCAGAGAGTTATGAAATTCTGCAATCAATGCTGTGGTTTTTGGAGATTTCTTAGGAAGCACCAGCTTCCCCTCGTAGACCAAACACCTGGTCAGTTTTAATCACAAATGGTTTAGATGCTAGATAGTGCTGCCATTTCCTCATAGCAAGGGCAATGGCGATCAATTCTTTCTCATACACCGAGCCCCTCTGGTTCCTCTCCGAGAACTGCTGACTGAAATAAGCAACCAGTCTCCCCTTTTGCATGAGAACCACTCCCACTCTGGAGCCACAAGCATCTGTTCCGATCTCAAAGGGAAGTTGGAAATCTGGCATTATTAAAACCGGAGCTATTCATCAAGTAAGCTCTGCATTCCCGACGACAAAGTCCCCACAGGAGTCCGTTCAACTTGCTCTTCGGTCTCCAAGCTCCGAATTTCCAGAACGTAGCCAGCTCCTTTGCTTTTTAAAGCCTTTCGGATGGCTTTGTATGAAGCCTAGGCCTAGGTCAACGTTGGGTCATCGTGCAATGATACCCAGTTTTTCTCACAGCGTACCTTTATATACAATTGGTTCTAGTTCACTCAGATCTCCCCCAGCGTCACCAACCAAGCTACTCCCAACACCAGATCAATATTAGAGAGGGAGAATGGGTAGAAGGTCTGCTTGATCTTATAACCTTGAACGTCAACTTCAATGTCGCGACACTCCCCTCGAGTATAAGTTTTCCTGCCATCCCCTACCGTCACGGAATACCAGCGGGTGGGTGATACGATAAGATGCATCGCAGTCATAGTCTCTGAGCGATGAAATTGTGTGTGGCTCCACTATCAATTAGTATAACCACTGGTTTCCCTTTCAGCGTTCCCCTCACCTTCATAGTTCAGTGGCTATTGAGGCCAACCATGGTTGCCTGCGATAGTTCCATTGTGGCCATTTCCTTCTCCTCAGGTTCATCTTCCAACTCGTCAAAATCTCCTTCATTGATTTCGTCGTCTGCCTCATCGCCGCATATAAGGAGTCATAACTGTTTCCCTTTACATCGATGGTTGGGGCTAAACTTCTCATCGCATTTGAAACATAGACCCAACTCCCTCCTTCGGTTCAATTCTGCTTCTGAGAGCCTTCGCGACCCTTGCGTGTCGCTTCTCTTGTCAACGCTCGGCGTGGTAAGGGGTGTTGTTCTCTTGTTATTGGAGGCTTGGGTACCTTCTTTTTCCTTGCCTTCGACGGTGCGCACAACAGGATCTGGTGAGGAAAATTTCTGGGCATCTTGTGGGCTCGAAACCTTAGGGTACAGCAAGGACTTGCTACTAGGCCACTTAAACAGAGGCCCATTTTTGAGACTCCTGGCCCTCTTCTCCTCCATCTTCTTTAGAGTCAAGTTCCTTTCCTCCACACGGTACGCATCATCCATTAGCCCTTGGAGGTTTTGAGGTTTTCACCTCAACCCGTTCAAGAACATTCCCATCAAGGACTCTTCGGGTATATCCGGTAGGATTGCTAACAAAAGTTCAAATTGCTCTTGGAATTCAGAAACGGACCTGGTATGCTTCAAGCCTACCAAGCACTCATAGTTATCACCCTCATGACTACACTGAAAGCGTTGGATTACCGTACTTCGGAAGGTCTTCCAGTCCACTATTGGTGCTCTCGTCTCCATCCACTGGAACCAATTAATCGCTCTCCTTTCCAGTCCTACCACCGCGGCGTCCATCTTCTTCGATTCAGGTACCCTATTTACAGCGAAGTATCTCTCCATTCTGCATGCCCACCCCATTAGATCCTCCCCATCGAATAACAGCATCTTCAGCTTGCGGTCAGATTCCGTCCTTCGGCCCGCCACTCTCGCCTCCCTCTTCCGCATGTACAACAGTCCTAGTGCGCTCTCCCACTTCTCTCTTAGGAGTTCCCTCGCCTGGAGGGCAGTTTGGTCCGTGAAGCAGAGCTCGAATGGCAGCTCCCAGCTTCTGCAGTTGAGCCAAGGTGGCATTGTCTGGTTTCAGTGCGTTCAACCGCTGCTTCGCTACTGGCTCTCTGCAAGTCGCCCACCACTCTCTCCAAGGTGTCAAGTCTGGCCTCCATTCTGGTACCCACCATGCCCCGGAAAGCACCCGCTTTGATACCAAGCTGATAGAACTTGGAATATTCCTTTGTATTGATGCGATAGCTCAGAAGCAGTACAAATCCCCCTCCTTTAATGAGGTAAGGATGAGGAAATGTGAATACAACTTAAAATAGCTAGTTCGGTAATGGAACAAGAAAGGTAGCAGTAAAACGGTAGAAAAATACAGAGAGAACAGAAAACGATAATGGTAGGTCCTCCCTGACGTTAGAGAGGTCAGACGCTCTCCCAATCCTTCCACATGCTCCTTCTCTCCTTTCCTCAGCACGCAACCCTAGAAAACTAACTTTGAGAACCATTGGGCTAGCCGCATGCTGTTGGGCCTAGTTTGGGCTTCCTTCTGCTGTAGGTCACGTCCACCTTGGTGTTGGGTTCATCATATAGATTTTCATATTCATTATCAAAAGACTCAAGTGCCGGGAGTGAGACTTATATAGCCTCCCCTCGTAGCCCACCACACACACACACACATGCATTTATCTAAATGCACTGTGAATGACTCAGTTTAGACTATAAGACTCTTCTTGTGTAAGTTCTAAAAGACATCAACTCTTAGATTTGTGTTTTATCTGAACTCAAACTAGAGAGGTTACAGAACTGAACTACTGACTTGTGTTACTAATGCTAGTCAACATGAAATTCATGATTCAGGGTGTATTGTTGAGGGAATGTTTCTCTCTTCTGAGCTTTAATACCTCTGTTCTTATGTGCATTTTTCTTATATACTGAGGTAAAACTATTATTCTGATATTTTTGGCGAGGTGAAAAAACTTGTTGAAGCATAAACGGTATTTTGGATCCTTGACAGTTGAGATAAATCTATTAAACTACTAACAATGATGAGCAATGATTCTTCTATTGGTAGCACCAATGACATTTTGGAAACGTATGTTGTTGGAAACACAAAACCTGGAGTTGTATTTATCAGCAGAAAATACTCCACAGAATGTTGATCTAATGGAGGTAAATCTAAACAGGAAAAACGCGCACCATCCTGTGCATTTCCAATTCACTCACCACAATTTCCATACCCTTTCCGATGACCAGACCCCTGTTATGTAGCCCTTTCTCTCTCGCTAACTATCAATTATAAAATACCACAAGTGGCCACTCTCACATGGTTCACACCCACATGTCAATATTACCCCTATATCCAACACCTACAAACAATATAGTCAGTATTAGCATCCATTGCTAGTTTCATTATTCAGGCTGACCATTGGGTTAAACAATCCTTCAGCATCTTTAAACAATGTGGAACGATATACATATATTGAAACTAGAAACTTTTCAAGTTCTTCAGGGGAAAACAAGAATGAAGAGCCACTGATTCAAATTTGCCACCTATTTAGCCATGAAACTTGATCTAGTTATTCACTAGTTCATAGATTACTTGCACAAAATGAATTTCTTACTGACAAGCTTGGATGTATAATCCTTTTTGTTAGTGTTTTCATAGAGCCTTAATGCAATCTGTATGGACTAGAGTAATATGTCATTAGAAAAATCTATGGATAAAGCTAACCCAACATTTTGATGTTTAGTTTACTCATTTATTGTTTAAATTAACTGGCAATGGCAGCAAGAATTGGCCGGGCCTTTCGAACAGTCATCAAGTAGAATACCAGCAAGTGCTTGATGAGTTGATGGATTCTGAAGATGATGAGGCCGCCAGGGCTCTTCCTGACAATGCTGTATGCAGAAGGAAGCTGAGGATGATTATTGATCCAGAGGATGTTGACTGAAATGGATGCATGACCAGGGCAGAGGTTCCTTCTCTTTCCATTAAGCTTCGAGCGACCATTTTTTGTTTGGTTGGCACAATTTAAATTGGATCATTTTCTATAGCAAAGCAAATAGTCTAGATATTATTTCAATCTTAACTAGGCATCTTTTTTTTTTTTTAAGTACACACAGAATGATTTTAGAGGAAAGTGACCTGATTCTGTCAAACTGCCAGCATTTATATTTGCTTGGTGTATACATTATGCTATGCCGTTTGCTTTTCTTTTTGTTTTTTTTTTTGTTTTGGGGTGGATACTATACCGTTTACTTTACTAACTGTAAAAGACAAGCTTCTCTAGCTATATAATGTTTGATGCTGATAACCATTTCACGTGTTACCGTAGCCATGAAAAACTGCCTATTTCTGTGGTTCGCACCTGTGATGAGGGAACAAGATTTTTCCTCATGTTGTACTTATTTTAATCCCTTTTTTTTTTTTGTGTGTGGCGTCAGAGCACTGCACAACTCAGGCGGATTCAGTTTGTATCAGGATACATTTGCTCTTAGTTCAAGGAAAGATGCATCTTCCTGAAGGCATATTTTAATCACTTTTGACCAATCTGAGATATTAAAGAACAAGTTTATATTTACATTAAAAAAAAAAAAAGAAAGAACAATTTTATGTACATCCGGAGAGTCAGACCTTTTCTAAGCTTGTCATAAGTCAGACAGGCAGTCTAGCAGCATGCCAATGGTTCAGAAGAATTAGTGACGTCCTGTACAAAATTGTGTACATGCGAAAATGAAGAAATAGAAGGCTAACAAATAACAGCAAGGGCCTCTATTTAAGTCAAATTACTGAGTTTGAGAGATTTAACACTTTTTTGAAATCTGATAGCTTTCGTGAGTTGTAAATATACAATCAAATTTCAGTGAGACTATTCGTTAAAGTAAAGACCGTATGAGCCTAATTATAATGTAAAGACACGAAACTTAAATTTGAAATTATCTAGTACATGCTAAATAAATTAACTGGCCAGCTCGTGGGTTTTATTTGGAGGTGAACTACTCTTCTGGTCTTAGAACCTTATATATACTAGTATAAGTGTCTTTTATGTTTAGGACCGGAGGAGTATCATATCACTATGATTTATAGTAGTTTTTATAGGATTACATCATTAAAATATAGTTTAACAGAGTACTTTAATAGGAATTCGTTAGAAAACAGATATTTAAATAATAAAGGAATTAATTATTGTTATAAATCTTCTTTTATTGGTTTCCAATTCAGGACATGAATAAAGCTTGGGTTTAACAACACACGGAGCGGCAAAATAGGAAAGTGGAAAAGTTCTGTTCCACAGGAGAATTCCAGCGAAGAAAGGAAAGGGAAATTCAATGCTAGAGGAACTTTATTCCTTCCATCTGTAACAGTTAAGAACATTGGAAGAGGAAAACGAGAATTTGAATAAGAGAAAAACGCGGGACTTGGAAATAAAGGGAAAACACTCCATCTGAACGTTGGAAGATCCGTCCACGTTGGCTACATCATTTGAAGAGAAAGCTGAAGGGAGATGAGTTTGGATATATCTTGAGCGCGACACACGCTACGTCATTGCCTGTTCTTTCGTCACTTCCATCTTTTATTTTTCTCTCTGAATCTTCGCAGCAATCCTTCTGTACCTAGCATGGCTGAATCAATCTTTGGTGTTGTAGATGTCACATCCGGTAATTTGATAAATGAGTAGGGATGTTCCCAGATACTTGAGGGCCAGAATAGTAGGAAGAAATGAGATGACACAATTCTTAAAGTTAAGTTAGTGTCAGGGCAAAAGTGTAATTTCTAAAAGTTACAAGCAAGTTTATGTAATTTTAGAAATATATTGGAAATTCCCAAAAATTATTAGATAATTATGGAAAATAGGGAAAAGCCCCCTGAACAGTATACTAGTCTCAAAAGTTATAAATATGATGGAAAATAATTATTATGAAATTTTTAGTAATTATGAAGAATTGACTAATTAAAAAAAATGGTCAAAAATTAATTATTGAAAATATTTCATACAAGAATGCTTGTTGGGAAAAGTTCTGGATACTTTTCCTTTATTTCTTCTTCCATTTCCCATGTTGCTTCCTTGGTTACCTTTATGCCAATTTAGTGATTTAATCTTATGCTTAATGTCTCCTACTACATGTATGGCTATAAAATCATCAAGAGATAGAATATACATCATTCATACATAGCTCATATCATTACAATCAGCATCATGCAAATCAATACAATAAGCATAAACATCAAGTACATAAGATATGTAAGTTTATTACCTTATACTATAGGCTTTCCTCTTGCTTTTTCTTTGACCCCCTTGACTTCCCAACCATATAGGCTTTCAGTTAACATCATTTCCCATCAGGGTATTGCAGAAGATTTATTAAGGACTTTTCTCAGATTGCTTTTCCACTGACCAAGCTTACTAGGAAGAACCAACCATTCGTGATGGACGGAAAGAGTGAGGCTAGTTTTCAGGAGCTAAAAAAAAAAGCTCACCTTTACTCCCGTACTTATAATCCCTGATCCTATGCAGACTTATATGGTCTACAGAGATGCTAACAAGCAAGGACTGGGATGCGTGCTTATGCAGCAAGGACGGGTAGTAGCCTACGCCTCACGACAGTTGAAATCTCACGATAGAATTTTCTGACCCACAACCTAGAATTGGCAGCAATAGTTTTCACACTAAAGATATGGAGACATTACCTGCACGGAGCAATGATAGAGTTGTTTTGCGACTACAAGAGCTTCAACTATCTTCAAGATCAGAAAGAGTTGAATATAAGGCAACGTAAATGGAGGAGCATGGTGTGATCAAGAGAACGGGCAAGGAGCCCAAACAAAGAAGTCCAACATTCCAAAAGATCCATTATAAGGCATTGGAGGCCCAATGACAAGAGCAAGGACCAAAGCTATGAAGGAGGCCCTAAATTGTCTAATAAGAGAGCTAAAAGAGTTGGAGCCCATTTATTTGGAAGAAGCATATTTTAATGAGCCTAAAGGAGTCCAAAAATAGTGATCACATTGCTAGAAGCCCAACAAGATGATGTACAAGGCCTATGTGGGGTTCAGATTGAAGAATTCATTTAAAATACCATGTGACAAGCATGTGCCTTAGACAAGGATCATAAGTGACGTCCAAGAATCTTCAAGAAGGATCAGGAAGGCATCATTATGAATTGATTATGATTTAAATTTGTTTTTTTGGTCAAGGAGTGTTCTAGAAGATCATGTTTTGATCTACTTTCCTATTTTTAAATAGCAGACTTGTTCTTGAAATTTAAGTTATTTCCTTTTATTTCTATGTAATAAATGGTGACTCTCATAGTCAAATAATCATTAATAAGGCATCATCCCTAGCATTTATGTCTTAGGATGCTGATTCTAGAGTGTTCTATTGTTGCCTATATATAGGATACGTTTTTTGTAATTGAATTAAGATTTAGATGAATGAGAATTGAGTTTATTTCTCTCTGTGTGAGCTTTGCTTGCATCCTTGTATTCTCGTGAGAATACTCGACAGTATCAAGGGATTGATTAACCTTGTGGTGACTTCATGGCGAGGGTTGTAAGAGACAGGTTCTCTTGAGATCCTACCTAGATCAACCGTTTGTTCGTTACTTGATTCTAACTGGTCCGTATGTTCCCCTCATATCAAGAAAAAAAAAGTGTTGTTGTGTTGAAACAAAAAAAAACAAAAAAAAAGAAAAAAAAGGCTGCAGAATTGCTGGAAAAAATTTTGAAAATTAAAAAAAAAACAAAAAAAAATGAAAGAGTTTCAGATTTTGGAGATTGCAACATAAGAGGCAAGTTTCCTAATTTTGAAAGAGCTTCCATTGTAAGTCACAATTAATTTCCTAAATCTTTATACTTGGGTGGTAAGACTCCTACTTTCCTATTTCTACTTTCCTCTGTTTTATCTAGTTTCTTATTTTGAATTCCTTTCCTTTTCATACTATTTTCCTATTTTCTTTCTTCAAGTTTCCTTCTTTCTTTTGTTTCCTATTCCTTTTCCTTCATTTTCATACTACTTGCCTAATTTCAGTTCTTTTCTTGCAAGGTACTCACTTTCCTAAAGTTTTCTCAAGGTAGTACCTTTCCTAATTACTTTGTTTCCTACTTTCCTTTACGTTCACAACCTTATTTTTATTTTCAATTCCTGCCTCCCTTTTCCACGCTCCTATCCATTTTTTTTCATCATAAACTTCTTCTCTCCTCATTTTTCCCCTCCTTTCATTCCATCCTCACGTTTTGCCTATCCTTCTTCTTTCATCTCTTATCTTTTCCCTTCTTTCACATAGTTGCTGGCTCTTACAATTTATGGTTGTGAAGGTTATCACTTTCTAATATTGTCTCTTGGTTTTTGTTAAGTTTCAATCAAGAATACTATAGGAGACAAGCTCGAGTGGTAGAAGGCAAGAGTGTTTTACTTCAATATAGAAGCCAAAGTTGAGAGAAACACGAGTGGCACCAAATTGATTGAGTGGAACACGCGAGCAGAGTGGTGAGGTCCATTATTTCTATTTCTTTTTCTCTTTGCTTCAACTAACATCTCAGGTTAAAGATGAGCGGGAAAGAATCCAATAATGAAGAATTCAACATAGATATCAAAGTATTCATGAGGGCTATGAGAGATGAGTTTTTCAAACTCAAGATGGAAATAGAAGAGTTAAAGACATCCAAAGCAGATAGTAGTGATGACGAGGTGATTAGATCTGGTTCATCAACTTCAAAGAGCAGGAGCAAACATTCCAAAAATGACATGGCCATAATTGATCCAAAGATCAAGTATCCTACTTTCAAGGGTAATACCAATCCAGATAAATATCTTGATTGGGAGATGAAGTTCGAGCAGATTTTTAGATTGAATGATTGGCCTGAAGAAAAGAAGGTAAAATTAGCTTCATTTCAGTTTTCTGACTATGCTACTATTTGGTGGGAAGATTTACAGCTTAAGAGACGCCTTAAGGGCAAAGGTCCCCCTCGTACATGGGAGAAGCTAAAGAAACTTATGCGCAAGAAGTATGTTCCTAGTTTCTACTATCGAGAGCTTAATAGAAAGTTGCGACTATTTAGCCAAGACTTTATGACAGTAGAAGAGTATGTACATGAGCTTGATCTTCTTAAGATGCGTGCTGGAGTACAAGAAGATGAAGAATCAAGCATGAGCAGAATTATTGATGGTCTGAGACCTGAAATTAGAGACAAAGTTGAGATGTACACTTTTATTGATAAGGAGGAGTTGGTGCACAAAGCCATCAAAGTTGAAAAATGGTTTAAAGAGAAACACTCCAAATCCTTATCCTATAGCTGGAGGGACTCTAAACCAACCTCCAAGTGGAAGG